CATTCTGAAAGGGTGCTGCACAAATATTGTACATGGGTTATTATCGAGGTTTTTTGATATTTCCTCGACCCCTTGTGGCCACATCCACCTCAAAGCCACTAAACTCAGGGCCAAAATTACTTTCCTCTTAAAATGGTAGTGTTAATACTACACGACATCAATGAATCCCAGGTGTTTGCTGCGCAGCTTGCTCTAGCTGGCGCTCAATTGAACTGGTGCTCCCACAAGGCACTAAGGGGTCCCAGATTTTTTTAATACCGTGCACACTGAGTGTTAGGACCCATTCTATGCTGACAAGGCATCTCAGGCCAATCATGCCAAATTTGAAGGCAGGAAAAATAAAACGAATATATACGTTTGGGGCACTAGCAGTAAAAACATATATGTATATATGTTTGGACCATTTACGGGTTAAAAAACAAAGAAGGGAAGTAACCCCAGAAAAGGACTTGTTACCTGAACCTTTATGGAAGGGGATTCCCCCTTCCAAACACTTATAATCTCCTCCATCCTCTCCCCTCCTCCCATCTCATCACTCATCAGTAAGTCCTCATTAAAGGTAAGTGTCATTTCAGTATTGTTTATTCTGCATGTCTCATTGTTTTCTGTGTAGGGAAATGTATATTCCATGTAAAAAAAATGAATTTGTATATCTTTGGGGTGCTAGGAACAGATTAATTGATTTCATTATTTTCTTTAGGGGAAAAAATAATTTGGAATAACCAAAAAATCGGTTATGACAAGCTCCCTCAAATTATTAATTCGTTCCTCCCGGTCCACTATACATCGACCCCGTTAAGATATTTTCACTTCCAGTAATGTTATTCTGAGTGCCATGTACTGACCGGAAATTTGTTCCATAAGAATATTGTGAAGTTAATTTGGTTCCATTTCGGATCCCCATAATCATTAGAGGACAAACCACTTACATAAATAACACTTACATAATTGGTCGCATTTGGAGGTGATCGTTATGCGGGGGTCCACTGTATTTAGGTCCAGGTACACATAAGTACAGTGGTACCTTGACTTACAAGTGCCCCAACTTACGAGTCTTCCGAGTTACAAGCCATCACTCGGTCGATTTTTTGCTTTGAGTTGCGAGCCAAAATCCGAGTTACGAGTGAGCTTCAGATATGCCGCCACTCGCAGGAGATACCGTGGAAATATCAAAAACCTCAATAATAACCAACGAGTAACATCCTTTCAATTTTGATACCACTTGTATTGTCATCCTGCCAGAATGTTCTATAATGTATGCCCTAAGTAAAGAGAAACAAATCTGGAATGTGTAATACATGTTCGGCTGGCTGGCTGGCTGGCTGATTTGCTTTGGCTGTTTCTATCTCTGTCTCTATCTCACAGGTACACATAAATACAGTTATACATAGTGTAAATAACCTAGGATAACCCAAAAAATACAAAGTGGTGTACTATGCTTGTAGATATAAGACATAATAAGTATCGTGTGTAATACCTGTTGGTTCATAAGCAACTCTCTCTCTGAGACAGACAAGTAGAGAGACAGGAAGAGACACAGGCAGACAGAAAGACAGAGAAACAGAGACAGAGATAAACACAGACATAACTAGACAGACAGACAGAAACAACCAGATAGACAGATACAAACAAATAGATAAACAGACATGTTTATGTGTAACAGTGAAAAATAAAGCCAAGACAGTGCATGATCATCAAATGTCACCCCACTGGTGCACTGTCAGCAGTGGAGTGACAGTCATCTTACACTGTGCTTCAAGGAGTTTCACATACTCCAGCATTTCTAAAACATTGCTGGGACCTGGCAAAAAAGGCAAAAAACATTTCTTATTTATAAATACATTTTTCTTATTTAAAAACCCATAAAAAACTGCAGTGTTTTCTGGGGAGCTGGAATGGATTAATGGCATTTCAATTAATTTCACTGAGGAAAATTGATTTGATATATGAGCAAATTGAGTTGCAAAATAGGTCACGGAAAGAATTAAACTCTTAAGTTGAGGTACCACTGTATAATTATCAAAGTACAATAAAATATGCAATAATTTTAAAACACATGAAATTTTGGAAAGTTTCCAGACATACTGGAGAGACATGGAGCTCACAGAGAATGTAAACAACTGGGTGGCGTGCAGTGTCTGTATTAGAATCAGGTGGGGGAGCCGTATAGCAAGTTTTGGTCATAATTTGAAATGCCTGTATTAGCGGAACGTTGTAAGGCAAAATGCTGTAAATTGGGGCCCTACTGTATTATGGGACTGACACTGGCTTCAAAGCTGTAATATTATGGGACTGACACCGAAAGGGTTAAAGGATGGGTTTGGAATATTGGCTGTTTGAAGTGCCATCTAAACTATCATATGTGAGTGCCTCTGCAAAGACAGTGATTATGTGTGAATAATGGTGAAAGTGTTGAATGATGGTGAAGTGTTTCTTTATTTTGGGTAACCCTGCTCGGCGGGAGATGGCCGAAGTGTTAAAAAAAAAAAAAAAGAGAATATGTTTTAAGCACAAGAAAAAATACAGTGGTACCCCGAGTTTTGGCCACAATTCGTTCCAGAAGGCTGTTCGAGTGCCGTTACCGAGTGAATTTGTTCCCATAAGGAATAATGTAAATTAGATCAGTCTGTTTCAGACCCCAAAAATACACTTACACAATTGTTCGAGTAGGGAGCTGTTTGAAACTCGGGGTACCACTGTATTTTGTAAGCACAAGAAAGTATATTTTGTAAGCACAAAAAAAGAATATTTTCTAAGCACAAGAAAGAATATTTTGTAAGCACAAGAAAGTATATTTTGTAAGCACAAAAAAAGAATATATTCTAAGCACAAGAAAGAATATTTTTTAAGCACAAAAAAAAGAATATTTTGTGAGCACAAGAAAGAATATTTTGTAAGTACAAGTTACCTGGTTTACAAAGGGATTGTCTGGTTCTTGAGTCCCAGTCACTTGAGGAAATGAAAGTAGACACATTGTGTGTTCAGCTGGAGCAGTGTGTGTGTCTGGTCAGAGCAGTGTCGAAGACTACGACATTCAAGTTCATACCCTGAGCCAGCCTGAAAAACAATCAACATTTTAAGACATAATTCAACATACAGGAAATCCTTAACCAACAAAGATGTTGGGGACCTTCTGTACTGTGTATAATAATATAATACAGTGGACCCTTGGTTTTCGTCGATCTTAGCTATCACCGATTTCAGTTTTGGCTGACTTTTTTTCGTCAATTTTTGGCTCTAGTTTTCGTCAATTACCTCCGTTTTTGTTAATCGTACGGAACCTGTCCAGTCCCCAGTGCGCAGACAAAGCTGCCTCCCACACACATTCTCGGCCAATGTAGCGCTGTTTCTCGGTCAGTGAACATATCCAGCCAGGTCATACGAAACAATTCATAATACAGTGGACCCTCAACCAATGGCTTCAATCGGTTCCAGAGAGCTAGCCCTTAGTCGAATTAATTTTCCCCATAAGAAATAATGGAAATAGAATTAATCCGTTCCAGACACCCAAAAGTATTAAACAAATAATGCTTTTTACATGAAATATACATTTCCCTATGCAGAAACAAATGGTACATGCAAAATAAACAATAATTAAATGCCACTTACCTTTATTGTGTAGTTGTTGTTGAGTGATGTGCCAGCAGCAGGGGAGATTCAGGTGTTCTGTTGTTTGGAAGTGGAATCCCCATCCATAAAGACTTCAGGTATCAAGTCCTTTGGTGGGGTTACCTCCCTTCTTGGTTTTTAATACCACTAGGACCAGCTTGAGTCACTGGACCCCTGTCTCACAAAATATCTGTCCAGAGAGCTCTGTTTCTCACATGCCCTTAGGATTTCCCTAAAATGGGACACAAGAGTGTCATTGTACATGTTGGCCAATATGGCTTGCAACTTCTGTGACAGGATAAAATTCATCCACAAATGCTTGCATCTTTGTAAACATTTTACGCATTTCCTTAATCCTTGACGAAGGCAACTTCCTCCGTCTCTCTTCCTCCTGCTCTGAAGCACATTCCTGAGCTGTGATCTGTTGCCATTGCACCTCAAGCTTTGCAGGTCTGCAGTGGTTAGTTCTTCATCGTTATTCTACATCAACTCTTCCACATCCTCGCCATGAACCTCCAACCCCATGAACTTCCCCAATGACACAATTGATTCCACAACTGGCATAGGCTAATGAGGGTTAGCCCCAAACCCTTCAAAATCTCTCTCTTGTACACATTGTGGCCACAGTTTCCTCCAAGCAGAGTTCGAAGTCCTGCAAGTCACTCCCTCCCAAGCCTTACCTATAAGGTTTACACAACTGAGGATATTGAAGTGATCTTTCCAAAACTCTCTTAGGGTCAACTGAGTGTCTGAGGTCACTTCAAAGCACTTTTGAAATGCTGCTTTTGTGTAGAGTTTCTTGAAGTTTGAAATGACCTGCTGGTCCATGGGCTGGAGGAGAGGAGTTGTATTAGGAGGTAA